AGGCTACCGCTGAGGGACCGAATGACACAGTGCACTGAGGCTGACGTGAGTCCTCCGAGTTCGAGCGTGCGTGATCTGAGCTGTGCGGGCCTGGCGTAGGCCATATGGTGCCAAACCGCCCTACCCTTTCTCAGGCTAAGTCTTTGGAAGATGTGCACAAGCATATGTGATCGACCGGCACGGGCCGGTGCATGGAAGACGAATAAGCGTACCTGCAGCCATTGCGTCGAATGTTGGGACCCGAGCTAGGCCTCACAGTAGACACCCGTGTTGTTACTGAGCGGAGGGGCAGGCACTGCAGGATTCGATATGACCGACGCGCCCGCGCTTCCAATCAGGCCAGCGCACGCCTGTAATAGATCGAAATGAGAACCAGTTGGATCTTAACACGATCATGACGTGAAGATCCCAGCATGACTATGGACATTCGAACGCGTGTATGTCCCGTGTCTGCAGACTCACTGATGACCGCGCGAGCGTCCACCGTGCCCGAGATCGCCGCGCGTGCTGCTTCTTTCCTGCATCGTGACAGGCCCACACCTGACGGCCCAATTGTCGCCATCAGCCACAGGTACCTCGCTGCATGACCGTCGGCCGTGGGCCTCCGGACCCGGAGAGTGGCACGCGTCGTCCGGATGGACGGTCGTCTTCTGATATGCGATAGGCTTCTTAGCCTGTCTGACAAGGGAAGACGCGGGGTTAACGAGAGCCGTGCGGTTGTCTAGCCGTTCATTATGGAAGAAGTGCACCTCGTGCATATAGGCTACCCGGCGGCGCAGAACGAGGGCCTCTGGTAGTCTAACTGCTGTCAGACACGCTCAGCAGAGAGGCAGCCAAAATCCGGATAGCAGGATGCTACGTACGTACGCGAGCTTCGGGGGCGAGCACGGGAGCAGGAGTGCGGCCCGACGGGTGCAACAGAGTGATGGTTGCCGAGAACTCCGAGCGAGCGACTCTGTCGCTAGCCCCTCGTGCGGGCCCAGGACGAAACCGCTCCACTCTATTGTTCGCAGCTGTGATCAGCATACTGCATAGCCAATATCGTGGCCGTGACGTACTGAAGGTGGAATGTCGCACCGATGGCGCTTCTGCTACTTCAATAGCGTCGGTGTTGTTTGCACGCATACGTGGACGCTCGACGCCGGGTACATCCGGCACTATATGACACTCGAGGGACGCCTATAGACCAGATGTTCCCGTATGAGGCCTGCAAAATGGCGTCGAGTGCAAGGAGGACTGGGCAAGGTACATACTCCGCTAATACATCGGGATGCCGAGAAGCCAGCACGATGATAGGTGGGTGAACGGCCTTACGGGCCAGGTCCCTGATACTTGCAGGGGCTTTACCCTGTTCCTGACTATGGGCGCCAAAAGATGCTTTGGCCGATCTACAGAGGTAGCAGAACAGATACCAGAGAGGGCAGGGATGGCGTGGCGGACCCCAAAGGCCGTAAGTAGAGTCGAAGAAAGAAGACGGATAGACGTGCTGGCCCGCAGACATCTACAAGGAGCACCGCCACCGGCCAGAAAAGGGCAACGATTTACGGGTCCGCGCGAGGCGGACTCGGAGCCAGTGCCAAGGACGGGCAGCTCGGGCAGGCGCCGATTGGGCTCCCCACGGTCGGGAGAGAGACGGGCTGGGATTGGCTGGTCGCGGCCGGGGAGGCCGGGGTGGACACGATTAGATGTCGCGCGGTGATCTAAGCGCGCATTGGTTGGGACTGCTCGTGTCCGTGTCCGTGTCTACCGCCTTCCCTCGTCCGGGCCCTTTATCATCTTTCCATGCGCCTCGCCCGCTCGCACTCCCCTCCCGCCCTGCTCCCATTCCTGCAGCGGTTCACAGAGCCTCCTGCGCACCTCCATTAATATCTGGCGCCGACCTCGTCCTGGGCCTTTGCTTCCTGTATTTACTGACAATCCTTCGCGGACCCACACTTGCAAGCCACCGCCTCGCTCCCCTCTCCGGACAGAGGGATCCAACAGGATGTACTCGCCGCCCTCCCTCCTCCTGGTGCTCCTCGCGCCGGCAGCGGTCACGCTCTACTTCCTCTGGACGTTCCTCATGCTCGTCCTCCGCCAGGCCCGCTCCCCGCTCCGGCACCTCCCCGGCCCGCCCTCGCCCTCGTTCTTCATGGGCAACCTCCGGGAGATGCACGACCAGGAGAACAACGGGCTCGTCGCCCGCTGGGCCGCCGCCTACGGCTCCACCTTCGTCTACCGCGGCTTCATCGGCGGCTGCAGGCTCATGACCGTCGACCCGCTCGCGGTCAACCACATCATGAGCCGCGGCTACGAGTACCCGAAGCCGGACTTTGTCCGCGACGCGCTCGCGAGCATGGCTGCCGGCTACGAGGGGCTGCTCACCGCCGAGGGCGACATGCACCGGAAGCAGGTGCGATGCGTGTTTGTGTCTGTGTTCGTGTTCTCACCGCGCGTGCATTCTCCTTCTCGCATGTGTTTGTGCCCATAGCGTAAGATATTGGTGAGTTCTCTCTTGCCGCGAACGCTTCCCTTCCCTTCTCGCTCTCGATTTTCCCGAATTCTTGCCCCGCATCTCGTGCCGCGCCTCAGTGCTCCGGCTGTCCTGGGGACCCCCGGCGATGCGGACCGAGTGGTAGATGCGCCCACGTGACCGTGCAGATCAGTTGGTTGCGACGCGGCTCGCACTTGGGTTCTCCGGCCATCGCTGCCGTTGCTTGCGACCGACGACAGCGAGAGGAGTCTGGCGGTGCAGCCTGTCTCCACTCAGCGCGCGCAGCGGCTCGGCGATTTCGCTCTTGGCGGCTTTTGTGGGGTGGGGGCGACGGATCGCTCAGGTCGACGTCGTCACCGGGTTAGCCGCAAGGTTCGGCAGGCGACAGGACACAGAACAGCTTCCTTGTCGGGTGGTATTTCCCACTGCGCATTCCGTCATGATGTGTCGTGCGTTGCCTTGTGTTCAACGTGGAGGCCGCCTATGACTTGAATTGAACCTTGTTACATTGGTTTTGTAGTCGTGGAGGCTGCGTCGTAAACGAGGCGCGACGACTGTCGTCAAAGGACATCATGCTATCCGCCTCCCAAATTCTCATGTGGCACATCGCCTTGTCGTAGGATGATGAATGCTGACAGAACGTCTACTCTCTAGAACCCGGCGTTCTCCGCTGCCCAAATCCGGTCCCTCACCCCGATATTCTGGGAGACGGCCATCCGAGTGCGTTGGCTCTTTTCTCTCTGCAACCATGCCGCTCTCCCTTACGGACCATGCCCTCACAAATAACGAAAGCTGCGCGACATCTGGCTAGACATCACCGCCTCGCCCAAAGCCTTCTTCACCCCCGTCGACCCCTTCGCGCGCGCCGAGGCGCCGCCCAGCCCGGGCACCGCGGACCCCGAGCCCGCAGCAAACGCCCCTCTCCTGAGTCCGTCGGCCGTCACGACGTCGTTCCTGCCCAACCCCTTCGCCGCCTTCGTGCCGTCCAAGGCGTCCCCGACGATCCCCACCGTCAGGGCGCGCCAGCCTGCGGGATCGTCCGCTCTGGAGCTAGCGAGCGACGCACCGTGCCGGCTGGACGTGCTCCCGTGGCTGGCGCGCGCGGCGCTGGACGTCATCGGGGAGGCGGGGTTCGGGTACGCGTTCCACTCGCTCGAGGCGGCTGCGGAGCGGCGGGACTACGAGAGCGAGCTCGCGCAGGCGTTCGGGGTCATCTTTGGCACTGCGCGGAAGTTCCGGGTGATGACGATATTGCAGGTGTGGTTTCCCGTCCTGCGAAGATTTGTGAGCAGTTGTTCCCTTTACTCCTGTTCCAACCTCTTGAGGTGGAGGCTGAACAGGTGCTGACTGGGCGAGCAGAAGCGGGAAAACGCGGCGATGCAGCACGCGCAGGCGACGATGCGCAAGATCGGGACGGAGCTCATCGAGCAGCGGCGCGCGGCCGTCGCCGCCGAGTCGGAGAAGACGTCGGAGAAGCGGAGCGCGATCGAGGGCGACAAGACCGTGTTCGACCGCGACCTGCTCAGCGTTCTTGGTTAGTACCGCTCTTTCTTCCGAGATGTGGCGCTGCCGTGCAAGTAAACCTTGTTTAGCTTACATAACATTTACGCTGTGGTTAGTGCGCTCGAACATCTCCGAGGTCCCCGAACAGCGCATGTCCATGAACGAGCTCCTCTGCCAGATCTCGACGTTCCTCGCTGCTGGCCACGAGACGAGCGCGTCCGCGCTCACGTGGACGCTGTACGCGCTCGCCCGCTGTCCCTCAGCGCAGGCGAAGCTCCGCGCAGAGCTGCGGTCTGTCCCCGTTCCGTCCGCCCCGTCCGCGCCTGTGTCGTCTCCACCTCCATCTCAGCCCTCCTTCTCACAACAGCCTTCCACGCCCGCATCTGTACCATCTTCGCCAGAGCGTTCACCACCTTCCTCGCCGACATCTGCGGCAGCAGCATACGACGCTGCGATGGCCGCGCTCTTCGACCGCATCTCGCACCTGCCCTACCTCGACGCGGTCGTGCGCGAGGCCCTCCGGCTGTACGCGCCGATCACGACGACGATGCGCGTCGCGACGCAAGACGACGTCATCCCCGTCGCCGCGCCATATATGGACCGGCGGGGGCGGATGTGCGACGAGATCCGCGTGCGCAAGGGGGACATCATCAGCGTGCCGATACAGGCGATGAATAAGGGCAGGGAGACGTGGGGCGAGGACGCGGACGTGTTTAGGCCGGAGAGGTGGGAGGAGGGTAGGCATAGAGAGGAGCGCTGCGAGGAGAAGGGGAGAGGGAAGCACGTGCAGGGGCTGTGGGGGAACATGCTGACGTTTGGCGGGGGCAACCCCGTGAATGGGAACCGGTCCTGCATCGGGTACCGGTTCGCGTTGAGCGAGTGAGTCTCCGTTCCATGTTCTTGTGGAGGGAGGAGGCACAGACTGACGGGACTGTTGTGCAGGATCAAAGTCTTCCTGTTCGTTCTGCTCCGTGACATCGAGTTCTCGAACGACTCCGCGGTCGAGATCGAGAAGAAAGTCAAGTACGTCTCAGCCTCTTCTTTTTGCTCTTCCCTCGATCCTTATGATTTGCGCTGCTCACTCGCGCCCCTGTAGCGTCGTGACCCGCCCATGCGTCAAGTCTGAGCCCCATAGGGGCAACCAGATGCCGCTCTACATCCGTCGCGTCCTCCGCTCTCCCAGTTCGGATCCAAGGACTGACAGACACTTCGGTGTATCATGAGGACTTCTAGATGCGGATTCGCATCGGACCGCTGCTATCTGCTATTTGCTATGTACTGCTCTTGTATATCTGTGTATTGCGCCGTCTCACTTACATTTATTCTAATATATCACGATGCTCGTGTTCGTTGCTGCAGTATGGGCAAGGGTCAAAGGTGGGCGCCGTTCGGGACTGTACGATCGTCAGCCGGTACAAACAAGGTGAGCTAGTCGCAATACAACATCGTACGGCGCGAGGCGTGTTCCTCACAACGGAGGTGACAATAGTGGGTAGTATGTGCCGTTGAGGAATGGAGAAGAGTATGAAAATTAAGTCGTGTCTGTCCGATGAGCAGTCGCTACAGCAGTTGGTAGGTCATTAGATGATAGCGCTGGCTCATGAGGCCGCTCACATCGTACCAGGGGCTTGCACATGCTGTGAGCACGGCCGAGCCGAGTCGAACTTTTCCTACAGTTCCGCCAGCTTCGTGTCCCAGCCTCTCGTGTCCCAGCCTCAGCGATCAGTAATTCGGGCCGGATGGCCTGAGCCGCGGCTTTCTGTACTATATAATCATGCATCCAATGTAGAGATGGTGTACATATACGAGAAAGATGCGGAAACAAACACAATGGCAGAGGTAGAGAGATAAGAACGAGGTACAATGTTCTACATGACAATGTACAAACGATCGAATGACGAATGTACCAGATGATGACGCTCATCCTAGACAGCGCAGACGACACTAACCTACTGTACAGTCAGGCTTCGTAGCTGTCCTTTCTGGGATATTTCTGGCGTTCAGGGAACATCTTGGAGAACCACTTTGAGAGGACACGGTAAATGGCGACTAACGGTTGCAAAGGAAATGCCCAGATCTCAAACCAAGACCACCCATGACTGTCGCGATAGGTGTACAGCAGAACAAGGGCAAGGAGGACCATCGATAGCCCGACGATGCCCACGACCGTATACCTCGTAAGCTGGTTGGTTCGATGGAAGCATATCCACGCAATGGAGACGAATAAGGTTAGAAGCCTGTTTGAGATGCAATATGATGTGAGCTGCGGAAGACGAGCAAGTGCGGAAGGAAGCACCGCCTACCCCACCAGAAGAACGTAGCCGGGATGCTATAGATGACCGCGAGCCGCTCTAACTCCTCCACTTGCTTCTTTTGGGGGCCACCCTTTGGCGGCTAGGCAATGATATGCGTGAGTATGTCCAATCCCGGACCAACACCAGATACACATACCTCGCCTTCGAAACTCGAATTATGACCGGAGCGATGCTGCCTTGCCAAAATTGTTGCGGCCGCAATGTTGCTGATGTTGAGTATCAGCGAGATGTAACTAACAATCTGCCCGAGATTGCGCTCTGTGAAAGGGGGACCATTCTGGTCGACTGATGAGAGGGCGAGAGAACTGAAATTTGCAGCCAACACGACCGTAGCCTGTTCACCCCAAAGGCGTCAGCCTTGGGATCACTGCAGGAAACAGATGCGAGTCACTCTCACCGGCGTGATAGCCGCCAGCCAGTCATCTTGAAGCTGAATCACGAAGTCATTCCAGCGACTCGTACTCATCTTCCTTCCGATCCACAGCTGATTGAGGTTGAGATAGTAAGATACAGCGGTATAGAAGGACAACCAGTTCAAGATTGTAAACCAAGGAGAGTGAGAATCCGACTCGTAATGATGGGGATAGAAGCCGTGCGAATTGTTGAGTTGGGCGTGTTCTTCCCCATGGAAGTACGCGAAACGAATCTTGACTGCAACTGGGCATCAGTACATTTGTTGCTTAGATGGGAAAATTAGACGCGTACGGAGTGCGCTCATCAACTTGCCTAGACCGCTAGTTCAGCGTAGGAAGCAGAATTATCAGAGAAGGCGCTGACCTACAATACAAGCATCTTCTGGTCTATTTGTGTCAGCTGAATTGGCATCGTGAGAAGTTGCGATGTCGGATATGGCATATCTCCATTCACGGACCTTTTATCTTCCCAACCATTTTTGTGAACTGTGCAAGTTCGTCTGCGGTACATGGTGATGTCGATGCCTTCGAGCTCGCGGCATCTGTAAAATCCAAAGATAATTTGTCCTCCCACGTGGAATTTCGGAGAGTCTCACCGAATGCCCAGAAGGCAAGCCTTTCGTTCAAGTCGTCAAGCTCTAGTTGCGAGATGATTCGTTTATCAGGAAAGATATACAAGTGCTCCCTGTGCATCGGGGTAGGGATCCAGTTGCTATCAGCGGCGTTTGCGTGGAGAGTCGAGCCACAGACCAGTATGCCGCCTGCGCCGCAAATCCTAATTGGCATGGGTCAATAGAAATGAGCCTTGCTAAATTCAGACTCTCATGCAATCTCTTGCGACTCACCGAGATGGTCAATTCCGATGATGCGATGGTCAAGGTCTTCCCAGAAGATGTTGGTGTCAACTTCATCCAACCAGAATACTTGCCTCTTCTTTATGTTGCAGATATGGTAACATCCTTTTACTACAGTCTCGCGTCCGTCGCTATGGCGTCTGATAGGCCACCATCTCCGTGTGCTAGAGGTCTTTCCTCCATCCGTTTCGGTCTTTTCTCCTTCCTGTCCCTGCGTGATCTGGAGGTGTATACCAATCTCGATGTCGTCGTAGTCTAATAGCCCGCGAGAATCCTCGGTTTCGAGGGCCTGACTGTTGAGGGCCTGCAGCGGATTGCGACGCAGCATGGCCACAACAGCTTCCAGGTCATGCAAAGTCTTCTTGTCGTACAACCAGGCATCGGTGTAGACGTTCTATGACAATGGCGCTGAGTGGCTGAGCGATCACGAAGGTTGTCATTCGTACCTTCTAACGGAAATAAACTTTTCCCTCGGGATGAACGAGCCGATGCCATCCCACTCCAAGCTGGTCATCAGAGCTGAGATATGGGATCAGCTCCATTGCATAGGCCAGACCGGTGGTAGGAAGGCCTCTGCTCACGGAAGGTTGACATCAACTGGCAAGCGGTCCATCGGAGATATCTTCTGCTTTCCTAGCGTCGATGGGTGGCCGGTTCTGGGGGTGGTCACGATTCAGTTCCGGCAAGTCGCAAATGATCTGGAGAACGTACTGGTGTCGTTCTCTCCTGTGCCTGCATGTGGCAATCAGGCTAACCGGAGAAGCCTCGAGGCGTATAGGCATTCCGTCCAGCGATTCCGACGCCATGATCTTGCCAAGGGGATCACCGTCATATAGTATAGACCCAACAGGAGCTTCGTGTCAGCTGATGCATCTTCAGCACAGAAACCGTCACGGTCGCAGTAGAGCAAGCAAGACATCGACAGCGGCAGCGGCAGATGCGTAGAGCCCAACAGCGAGAAACTGTCAGTCATTGAAGACGATGGCACCTTGAGTAGCAGTTATTGGTAGGGGCAGCGTGCGATCCATCGACATCTACCTCGTTGCCTCAGCAGGCGGAAGGGTCGTGTGTATCCCGCACTCGTTAGAGAATCCAATGGTGTTGGTGGGTCAAGTCCAATTTGAGCGTGGATTCTGCATGGTGAACCGAGAGCATACTGAGATCACTCATTTCAGTGCCGGTAATGACCAGAAGGTGGACATGTCCTGACGTTTACCATGTGTTTATGCGGATCACGACGAGGGCGTATCTTGCGACATCGCATATAACACCGAAAATGCGACAGAGAAGCGGTTTCAAGGCTGATGGTGCACGGGCACTTCCCGGAGCATGCATTAGACCCTGTGGCATACGTAGGCGTGGTGGCCGCTTCTGACCAACTCAGGGCATCAATACGTGTGCCAGTACATAGAGAGTGGGCGGGAAGGGTTCCACGTTGCTTGAGTAGTGCGCCAAACTTTCTACCTCACAGTCCGGTGTGGTGAGATGCGCATTCGACATGTCACTGTCAGCATGCGTGAGGCTGTCGTCGAGTCGCATGTATGGCTTCCCACATTGGCTGCGCTCTTGTGAGCGCAACGTGACTTCCGCGAAACGGCATGAAAGCCATAGATCCGAGCGCAACCCGACTAGTTTGGATCCTACAGTCGTAGATGGTCAGCAACGCGCTGCAAGGAGAACGTAACTGGATCCTTCCCTCTCATGTGCACTCGGGCATGTAGACTGTCAAAAGCATCAGGCGCGAGCACCTGACCAGCAGTGTGGTGTCGGTGTAGAGCCACGCTGTTAGAACGTTCATGAGAGAATATATCAGGAGAACTACAACTCGATTCGAAAAGATAAACGCATGAGAATTCACTGTCGTTTGCGTAGCAAACTGCAGTTGACGCGCGCGCGTCGACTGCAAGTTTGCTCGTATTTGCAACGCCCTCGACCAGCGCCTGCGTGCCCGATTAGGCCTAGCAACAAGCACGGCCGAGAGAGCCATATGTCAGATGCCCTCGTGCAAACTTCCATTCCAACAATATTGAGGCCTCTTTTATCCAATAGCAGAAAGATCGAGAGCAACAGTACCGTGTCCTCAGCCTGGCATTCTCCCCGATGGCCATAGCCGGTACCCTACGGCGGAGTAAACACGCGCAAATACACGGCGCCGGCGCGAACTGCCCGTCCTTCGCACTAGTCCGCCTCGCGCGGACTTGGCATGGCGGTGCTGCTTGTAGATGGCTGCGAGCCAGGGCCCAGCACGTCTATCCGTCTTCTTTCTTCAACTCTACTTACGCCCTTAGGTGTCCGCCGGGCCATCCCTGCCCTCCCTGGTATCTTTTTCACTACCTCTAGACAATCTACAAGACCGTTTGGTGCCCATCGTCAGGAACAGCCTGGGGACAAGGCCCTTGCAGGTATCAGTGACAGTTCGGAAGGATCTGGCACGTCAGGCGGCCGCTCACATTATCTTCGCCGGCATCGAGGCATATCAATGTATTAGCAGATTATGTAGTGCACTCGATGCCACACCGCAGGCCTTGCATGGAAACTATATCCGATCTGTCGGCGTCCCTCGACAAGTAGTAACATATACTGCCCGATACACCCTTCATCTACCGCACGCGCAGCTTGTTACTAATCCATCCCGCACCTGCGCGAGAACCCACCAGCGTTCGCTCGGGGTTCGCGGTGTCTGGCACTCAAGTGTTGCGTCAGCCGGTCCGCAATCCTGCTCCAGTGCTCGCCCCCCAAGCTCGCATATGTACGTAGCATCCTGCTATCCGGATTTTGGCTGCCTCTCTGCTGAGCGTGTCTGACAGCAGTTAGACTACCAGAGGCCCTCGTTCTCCGCCGCCGAGTAGCCTATATGCACGAGGTGCACTTCTTCCATAATGAACGGCTAGACAACCGCACGGCTCTCGTTAACCCCGCGTCTTCCCTTGTCAGACAGGCTAAGAAGCCTATCGCATATCAGAAGACGACCGTCCATCCGGACGACGCGCGCCACTCTCCGGGTCCGGAGGCCCACGGCCGACGGTCATGCAGCGAGGTGCCTGTGGCTGACGGCGACAATTGGGCCGTCAGGTTTGGGCCTGTCACGATGCAGGAAAGAAGCAGCACGCGCGGCGATCTCGGGCACGGTGGACGCTCGCGTGGTCATCAGTGAGTCTGCAGACCCGGGACATACACGCGTTCGAATGTCCATGGTCATGCTGGGATCTTCACGTCATGATCGTGTTAAGATCCAACTGGTTCTCATTTCGATCTATTACAGGCGTGCGCTGGCCTGATTGGAAGCGCGGGCGCGTCGGTCATATCGAATCCTGCAGTGCCTGCCCCTCCGCTCAGTAACAACACGGGTGTCTACTGTGAGGCCTAGCTCGGGTCCCAACATTCGACGCAATGGCTGCAGGTACGCTTATTCGTCTTCCATGCACCGGCCCGTGCCGGTCGATCACATATGCTTGTGCACATCTTCCAAAGACTTAGCCTGAGAAAGGGTAGGGCGGTTTGGCACCATATGGCCTACGCCAGGCCCGCACAGCTCAGATCACGCACGCTCGAACTCGGAGGACTCACGTCAGCCTCAGTGCACTGTGTCATTCGGTCCCTCAGCGGTAGCCTAAGAGCGCCATATGTTCCGGCCCAGGGACCGTCCCTTTCGTATACGC